GGGGGGGGCAAAACAATACGAAGATGGTAGATTTAAAAATGCTTTTGTTTTTTCTTTTATGGGTATAGAAATATGAATATATATAATCGAGCCTCGCATAAGCTCTATATTTGCCTCTTGGACACCCCATAATGCATTGCAATCCAAGATGGACCATATATTGTCAAAGTAGCCTTTTCACTTGAGTGACCATAATGGTTTTAAGTCGAGGTTGAACTTCTTAGAACAACTTCATATAACCATTTTTAGCATGCAAATAAGCCGAAGAGTAAATAACATGCTGATGAGAGGCACCAAACTCTTCAGTTCCATAGTTTAATTGTTCACACTTTAATCGTTTTGTTATCTAGTTAGCTGGAGCATTCTTCCAACTCGTCAAAGCGTATCCACCAAGCACACGCCCCTCATTAGCATATTTTACTCTCTAGCTCATTTGCATGCTAAAAACGCTTGTGTGAAATCGTAATATTAATATAATAAAAGTATGAACACATCAAGTCCAACCTTGACTCAAGCCATTGTTTAGTGGTTACTCCAAGCGATTGCGAGAATTGTCTATTGTCTAAATCAAAAGTGCATAAAGCTACGAATATACATACTTTAAAGGTGACTATACTTTTGATTGATGGGCACAGCAAGCATTTCAGTTGAAAAATAGAATATTGGAGACTCTTCATATTAGCCCTTCAAAGATTGAGTAAGAGAAAGAGTTGGTATTACAGTGCACTGCGGAACAACTTTAGAGGATATATTTCCAAGTTGATGTCTACTGTATTTTCTCCCCTAAAACAGCCTCTTGATGTCAACTCCACCTCGGAATGGATAATAATAGTAAAAATACAAACTGTCATCAACTGTTTCAAAATCCTTAGTTAAAGTTTTAGATATTTATTAGTTTGTACATTAGCCACTGACTAAAAATATGCTTAAATAATTACTGAAAAAGTTTATTTAGAACTCTGAATACAATATTAATAAAATCTTTATTACAAACAACAAGTCTAGCATTTCATCTCCGCATTATCACAACCCACACAAGCCTTTTACTTTCCTCATATTAATTATGAAGCAAAAAGTCCACGATCGACCAAAACCATGGGCTATAGTTCATTCTTTTTGTCCGAAAATGGTCAAAAATGACCTAATTTGTCTTCCCCATAAATAATGCATATTTTCTGAAAAGGTGTGAAAATGGCCCAAAATCGGTCAAAACCATGGGCTATAGTCCATGCTTTTTGCCCGAAAATGGCCAAAAATGACCTATTTTAGCTTCC